GGTTTAGGGTTTAGGGTGGAGTTGGGTGCTGCCAAGATATGGGCGGGGCGTAGGATCCGATTTGAGCTAGCGTCTGAACTCCTTAAAGAGGGGACACAAAAAGGGGTGAGATGGGGAGACGATCATAAGGCTCAATAAGGCAGACATGAGGGTGTAGACTACGGCTCATTTCGGAATTGAAGAAGCTCTGGCGATTACCTCAACTGTGAGATGCACTTGCGAATAAATTGTTTTGTGTGCTCAGTCTGCATCTTGATCGAGGGCAAAGGAAGCATGGAAGCCGCGGTCTGCATGGCAGTTTCCATTGGTACTGGAAAAGTTGATGGAAGCTGCTAGGTGCAATTGAACTTTCCAAAACCAAGGTTCAAATCTTGGTCCAGCCACTTCCGGACGCGACCGGTTTCCTTCCACCTGAAGTGCCGCGGAGTCGCTTCAGCCAGGCATTGATCCTTACAGGGCACACTTTGCCCAACCCTACGCGCTAAACTCATTAGTCGTTGCGCGCTGCTTGGCAGGTGCGGCTCACTGTGGAACCGCCACAGCAAGGAACCGTGGCTCAAGGTGAAACCTTTGTTGAAGGGTGGTAATCTCCTTGTGCTACTGGCTACACACCCCCCACTCCCCCTGCTATTGCATGTTCCCTATAGTTGCCAAACAGGTTGGTGGAAAAATGTGGTATCAGAGGATGTGGTGTGTTCAATATTAGGGCGAAGGGATTACGTCCCCTGCGCGAAGTTGGAGCCTGGCAGCCACCTCAGAAAAGCTTTGGCTCCAGTTTTCTTAGCGCCTGTCTTCCGGTTGAGGGTGGCAAGCCCTGAACCTTGGTGACGGTACATGCAGCAATCTGACTAGGACCTTTCCTTGTGTGGTCGTAGCTGGTAGACTTTTGACATTTGGGTAGTTCTCTAAATTAGGGTCTCTCTTTAGGTCCCCAATATAGTACAGGACCCTTATAAAAGGACCCCTAAAGGGACCCTATTTTAGAGAACTACCCGTTTGGCAGCACATTGAGATTGAGATGTTTCATCCCTTTGGCTGGCTCGTTCGCTTGAAATCCAATCGCAATCAGAATTCCGTCGCATCCGAATATCCCTTTGCCAGACATCGTCCTGCAGTAAATTGAATCTTGAAGCAGAGCCCACAGACTCCAATACCCCTTAATTAAGGAATATACCTTAAATTATAGTACTCGTAGGATCCCTAATAAGATTTAAGATATATTCCTTAATCAAGGGGTATTGAAGTCTCTGAGAAAGCATTACCGGCTGACCCGCCCAGGACAGACCTTGCCGCAAGACTACATCTTGGATGTAGTGGTAGGCAAGGTGGTCTAGCTGCCTAGGGTTTTTTAGGGGTTTAGGGTTTAGGGTTTAGGGTTAGTTCTGCATCCGCTTGGCAGTATGTCCGTCAACGTATACACTGGCGCAGGCGTTCTGGATGTGCGTTTGGAGTCGGCTGGCATACCGACGCTCCTGTCAGCTGATGCATCGTCTTCGGGGGAGTTTGTCATCTCAGCACCGCGTGCTATGGAGGCCGAATTCCCCGTACTCCTTCCCAATTATCAAAGACGCTCGGTGCAAGGGCGCCAGATGGGGGTTTCCAAAAGTAGGGGACCCCAATATAGCACCCTAAATAGTAGGATCCTTATTCTAAGGATCACCAAAATAAGGTACCCTAATTCGCCGAAACTCCCAACTCTTTTTTGGATCAAAACGGCCCAAGGCCCTGGCCTTAACAGGACAATTAAACGCAGACGTTCAAACCGATGGCGGTTTCCATTTTCTTGCAGGGTAATGGAAGGGCAAACAGACGGCGATCTCAAAGCCCTAAACCCTAAACCCTAAACCCCTAAACCCCTAAACCCCTAAACCCCTAAACCCCTAAACCCCTAAACCCTTAAACCCTAAACCCTAAACCCTAAACCCGAAACCCTACACCTAAAGGCCCAAGCTGCTGGGCTTGCCTAGCATGCAGGCGTCCAGCCTGGGGCTTCGCATCGGTCCTTTCCCGCAGCTTTTGGCCCTCACGGCTGTGGAGAACTACACTGAGAATCTCCTTGAAAGGACCATTGAACCCTAAACCCTATAAATCCTAAATCCCTAAACCCTAAACCCTAAACCCTAAAACCTAAACCCTAAACCCTATAAATCCTAAATCCCTAAACCCTAAACCCTAAACCCTATAAATCCTAAATCCTTAAACCTTAAACCCTAAACCCTTTCTGACTGTGATGTGGATGTTGCAGACGGAAAAAGGAGCTCAAAAAAAAAATCCCTAAACCCTACAAGTCCTAAATCCCTAAATCCCTAATCCCTAAACCCTAAACCCTATAAATCCTAAATCCCCAAACCCTAAACCTTAAACCCTAAACCCTAAAGCCTACAGCTCTGACCACCCCAGATGACCCTGGTCTGGACAAAGTCTGCCTATGGGCACTCAGAGACTCCAATACCCCTTAATTAAGGAATATACCTTAAATCTTATTAGGGATCCTACTATACTTGAAGGTATATCCATTAAGGAATATACCTTAAATTACAGAAGGATCCCTAATAAGATTTAAGGAATATTCCTTAATTAAGGGGTATTGGAGCCTCTGGGCAGGACCCGCTACAACTTCAGCGCCGCCAACCTGGTTGGGCTGGGCAGTCAGCCGCTTCCCTGCAGTCTTTGCGCTGTTTAGGGTTTAGGGTTTAGGGTTTAGGGAACCCTAGACCCTAAACCCTAAATCCTGAAGCTGAGGTTAACCATCATGATACTGGTGCAGCCACCACCCGGGAGCGGCTTCCCGACACTTGAAGTCCGCACCATCTTCGTGGTGGCCTGGTCCGAGCTTT